AGCTATTTATTTGTTCAACCTATTCCTCTATTTCCAGTGTTCAAACGTCCAAACTAGTTTCACCAGTTTGCCATTCAAGTCACATAAGTAGACTACAATGCAGTGGGTGTATCCCGTTCAGTATTTTTCTCCACACAAACACTAGCGTCTAGTTGTAGTCAAATCTTCCACAACCAATAGAGTACGGAATGCCAAGAAAAGTGTCTATATGGCTTGGTGTGTACCATTGGCGGTAATAAAAACAGGATAGAACCCGCATAATTAGCGATTACATACCATTACGCATACGAAATGCTGTGTTTTGGTCAAAAGTACCGCAAGTACATGGCCGCACAAAGACCAGATTCTGCGAATGCTTTTGGTCAAGAATCAAAAGGTTTCAAAACTAGCAAGCGCTTTTAAAGTTAAATTTGTGGCTACTGATTTATCAGCAGGCAGCCTATGGCTCTTTCATTTGCTATAATTGTCTGGATCAAATAAGCTTTATTGAATTACTATTATAGTAATAACAGAGAAGCTTCTGTAAACCACAGACTTTTTCACAATTAATCGCAAGCAGAAGCTCCTCAAAATAACTAACCAAGAAAATAAGCAAAGACATTTTTACTGGAAATAGATTTTAACAAGCTCACATTCATGCCACATGAATGCACAAATCCGTTCCTTCTACCATAAAAATTGGGTGCAAGTCGATTTCTTGACGTGGTCCAAAGCTTGGCTCCTGAACAATTCATAAATATTTCGTAAAAGCTACAACACAGCAAGGCTTAGAGTTTAAGCATTTCAAATATGTTTGACTCTTATGGCAGAGTACTACTTGGCGCGTAAGGTCAAAATCGCTTTAAAAAATAACAGTTTAATTTCATTACATAATTGTGTTGGTGACTCCGCAAAATTAGGTAATAGCTATCCCTTCAAGGGAATACCGAAGAAAATGTAGACCAACAATGGTAGCGCCTGCGATTTCAGATGACCAGATGTCTGTAACGAGTTCAAGATTTAACACACCAACCGAACAGTCTAGTTTGCAGCGAGGCGCGTCAACCACTCGCCAACCTTGGCCACACCAAACCTGCTGATGCTGACGGACCCCACCTAGTGATTCACAAGTCCCAATCGGCCAGCATCCTTGCCGTGACTGACTTGGTCGACTGGTCACCGTCTGAAGGTTGCTTAATAAACAATTAACGTTTCATTCTTTGACGTTGCGGGGCACAATCCAACTGTGTGGACTGATCAATTTTGCTGAGCGACTGTAAGTTCTCGTTGGTAAAGCCGAATCCGTAAGACGGTAATCCCAGAAAAGTGGACAACTACAGACCAATTTTCTGTCCCCTACTGTGCCCAAGGTTACCAAGAAGATCGTAAGGAAGCATTTACTGCAACAATCAAATGAACTACCGACGCCCGCACAGCACGGTTTTATGCTAGGCCACTCTTGCATTGCCACCTGTTGGGGACGAGGTATGAATGATTACAGACAGTGCACCAGGGGAAATCTGTCGACATAATCTTCATTGATTTTAGCAAAGCGTTCGACAGCGAAAACCACGAGGTCCTCCTCGAGTAGCTGAGAGTCTGCGATGTCGGTGGATTACTGCATCAGTGGATTCATGACTTTCTCGTTTGGCGAAATTGAAGGGTACAGGTCAATGACCATGTGGCCGACTGGTATTCCCCTACTAGTGGACTGTCTTAAGGCACGGTGTTAGACTCACTCTGTTCCTAATCCAAAGCAACCATCTGCATTTACTTCTCCGGTTGACGTGTACCGTGACTGCAATTGGCCTAAAGAGTTGGAGAGCAATTAGCACCGGAGAAAACTGCGGCCTACTTCAGCAAGACAGTCGCCCCTGCATTTAGTCCGCCGCGGTCTGCTTCTTAATCAACCCAAGCAAGTCGGTATTCATAATCCGGGTGAAGGGTGGTGACGACTCAACTTAAACGATTGACGGCAAACCGCTACATCTCATGCCTTTCGTGAAGAACCGATGTGTAGGCTCAAGCTGCGACGAAGTCCGTGAATAATACGAACAGACTATATCATAACTGTGAATGCTATGGGCAACCAAACGCAGCTTCCGTGCTTGGTCTGAATAGGTCGCTAATCGCTTATACTCTTCCATCAATACGGCTCGCTCGCCAACTGTCCATTCATCTGAGACCAGGCACAGGTCGAACAAGTCCAACACGTCGCTGTCAAGCTCATTTCTAATATATGTAGATTACCGTACGAAGGCCAGTGCGACAGACTAGGACTTTACACTTTGTCCTCTCATTAGCTGCGAGTCAATCTCACAGTGGCCTACCGCACATTACCTGTCGGTGACTTCCCCATGTTGAGGCCGCTGCTTCAGTTTCGAAAGTCGTGCACCAAACGCGGACGCCGGTACAAGCTTGCGTTGCAGGATATAAAGTAATTTCCCCACCGTGTGTGCTTCGAACGCAGTGGTAAATGTATGAAACTGTCTGATAGATCAAGTCGGGGAAAGCAAATCTGTGCAGCAGTTCAAAAGGTTGTTGGATTAGCATTTCATCGCCATTCGATTCAGACAGCGGTTTCACATTGGTAATGACTTCTAAGGTTTTTGAGCCCAGTGATCTGCGTGTCAGACATTTTAAAACACTATGTAAGAAATTAAAGAACACTTATAGTGTAAACATGTGGTTGCTACCTTTTATGACATTTGGTATTAGTTTCCGATGGAGTTGAACAGATTTAGATGTCTAATTGCTCCTACCGTACATTATTCAGTATTACAACCAATTTTTAAGTCTGGCCTTTAAGCCACCATAATCCTCAAAGGCAGCTTTCTGAATAATGTAGAGATCTGATCAACAGATACGTCACGGATCATGATTTTAATGTGAATCCCTCCTATCTGCCAGCTTCCTGGGACGCGGTACGTTTTAGTCATTCTAACGAAAGTCCCATAAACCGTGAATCCATGGTATCTTTTCTGACCTGACAGAGATGCATAGTTGTGTCCCACCAGGCTCGGTGTTGGGAACACGGTTGATCCTGGTTTTCGTAATCGATCTCACTGGAGCGATCACCTCATACTTCTACCCACTGATAATTATGACAAGATTTACTGGGCCATCAAAATGGTAAACAATCACATGGCACTGCGAGACGGCCTCAGCAGGGCTTACTAATAGTTGGCCTATAACATGCTCGAGTTCAAACCAGCTGAATGTAACGATGTTGAGGGTCATTTTGAAGTACACGTTGTGCGGATGGATTGCAACGCGCAATCTCAATGTTGACCGCGATTCCCATTGAAGTGAACCTTGGTCTTAGGGTGTTGCCCGCCAGCTTTTTCTGGCGGGAAACACCCAGTTTCTATTTACATCAGCTGAATGTAAATTATTGAACATACGTCACTAGTAGATCTACCAATTTCGGCTAAGACAGCACGTTTTGCATCATGCTTCCCATAATTGTGATCTTGAAGTTCGCAAGCAGGACGATCTCGGTTGCTCAAACAAGTTGGAGAAGCATGAAGCAAAGCGAGTCAACGCTTGGGCCTCCTGCAGAAGATGTTCGTTTGGTATAATCGCACAATATTTTCACGACCGCTCAAGGCTTACGTGAGGCCACGAGTGATAATGCTTCATCCATGATTGCAGACTATGCCAGAAACATGCCATCGATGCTTTGACTATTCTACAATGATGAGTGGCTCAAAATGCAAAAGACTTGTTATATCACCTTTAAAAACTTAGGTGCAACATCTAGGAGTTTTCAGTGGATAATACCGCTGTTTGCTAGATTATCTTATAAGTTCAGTACTAGATTCCCAAGGATCCGAACAACACATGCGGACCCACAGCTACAACACCACACTGAGAAGCCATACATTTCGAAATCGGTCAGGCAGTAGGGTCTGTTGATATCCCGCCGGATATTTCTCTCCTGCCTGTATCCCAGTCTTTTATCGCTGCTCCCATCTTATTCAATTTTAAAACGCATTTGATTACGCATTCTACCACCTACTTGGCATGATTTAAACTCAGGTTGTTGAGCAAAAACAATATGTAACCCAACTTTTTGCACATGGGAAAACTATGGTGATTCTACCGATACGCATTGCTCTTGCTTTCTTTCGGTTAATTTTTCCTTCAATCTTTACTTACAGGAGCTCCTTATCATCCTCATCATCAGGCGTCGTAAATTCACCGTTCCGTTCATGTCACTTAAATATTTGTTCAAATATGACCAATGGAAATCAGCGCTAATGCATAAAACAATCACTAAGACAATACCCCGATGTTTTCTGGTTAATCTATGCTTCTGCTGTGTTAGCTTCTTTCGAGATGAAAGTAAAGTCTCTTAAGATGAAGTAAGCGTCAGCAAATATCACCAGTCTAGCTGAGCCTTAGCCAAGTTAGATTGCTGGTGTGACGCTAGTCCAGTAGACATATGGTGGTGTTCCGAATTAGCGCAGGAATCAGGAGATTTCAAAAAGTTTGCTTACCCAGCACATGAAGATAATAACTAAAATACAGATTATATTTTCTTTACAATTTAACCGCTTTGTTGACTATACGTGGCTATTGCTGATGATACATGCACGAATGCCTGTACACAGCAAACGAGCCATCGTATATATGAGTGCAGTTCTTTAATCAACTTATAGATATGAACCGTTAGCCATAGTTGCCGGCACCAGTTATCCAAATATATCAACAGTTTTTCATCTTATATCTTACAAGCGCCTAGACAGAAGCAACTCTCGGGACAACTCTTCTTTAACTTGTCTTTTCAAGCTTTATGGAATGGAGAGCTTAGGTTCGGCCAATTTCACTGTTTGGTTCAGAAATACTAGCAGTCTTTTATAGTACTCAATTGGACCATCAATTAGCGGCATTCAACTCCGAACGAAAAGGTTTCCATAAGCCTCATGTAAATCACCTTTGTTTGACTGCTAATTTTACTTAATTCAAGATAGCGCACGATTCGAATAATTTAGGAGACTGATTAGAATGCTACTCACTTGCTCGCCAGTTTATTCTTCTCCCGTTTGGCCTTTTCTATCTGCTGACATTCCGGTGAAGACGTTATGTGCATCATGTCCAGTTTATCCGTCTTGTTGGAGTAAAAGGAAGACAATAGAGACGTTCCAGATGATCCAGCCATTATTAGCTCCCCATGTTCAGCCAGTTTCTGATTAAGATAATCCAGTTCTTCCCCCATTGCCCTCAACCTGGATAGATTTGGTGTTACATCGTTTCCGTCACCGCGACGTAGTTTTGAACAATGAACCAAATCATATCGTCGTTGAACTGGATCTTCAAACGTCACGAAAGGATATTCTGGGTACGCCATGTGCGAATACCTGGTTGGGTGAGAAGTATAGCAAACGCGGTCACAACATGGCAGGTACAGTGTCCTCAAATCCACTGCACAGGGACCTCTGAGGTCATTGAAATCGGTTCCATTTGGACAGTCCGCAGTGCTATCGGGTTCATCAGGTCCTTGTTTGATACTGGACACAGGATTATCTAAATCAATCAGTCTGACAGCCTTTGGTCCTTTGCACTGAGAGTTGTACTGCCAAAAATAGTTGTTTGCAGATGTAGATGTGAAGCTCATGGAGTGCAGCATATTCCTGTGTTGTTCTGGAGATGGCATAGAAAACATGTAACAAGACTGATCACGAGGTTGCTGCCATCAGTTTGGTAGATAATTTTGAAGTGACCATTGAAAATCTGGTTTATCTATCTATTTCCTTATTTAGGTAAGAGTTTTGTCATAATAGGAAGACGAATTTGAACTTGTATGTCTTCCGAAAACACTCATGACCTGAATATAAAATATCATATAGAAATTTTACTTGCCGCCCATAGTGAAAGACGTAAACTACAAGCGTACAAATTTCAAAAATTCAAGTTACAATTTTGATCGAACGAAATTGTTATTAGCTTACATCATCAGAACTAGGAGACTGCTGACGGTCCATGGCAGGAATAGAGAATGTGGCCAAAATGCGTAATCAATTTTACTTGAGAGCTACAACATATAGCCACAAAATAAAACCAGACGTATTTGCTGATGGAAATAGTAAGTCCTGAGGTGACGGATTGAATTTTCCGAGCTAATAAATGATTCCATGCAAAGTCTATTGCTGTAGACTTATTGGTAAGTAATAAAAATGCTTGACTTGACGGTTGACGGTACCGGCTAAATGGCTTAGGTATCCATACTTTATATAGGGGGATGGTAAACTTGGATTGACGCTACACCAACACACGATCAGATGGAGCTTGGAAGTCCGAGGAAACCGTTCGATGGACTACTCTTCATGAGAGCAGGTCCTTTGGATTTGGTTCCACGGTTGGCTTCATTACGTCACCTGAACTTCTGGCTATATCTTCATTTCGTAATATTAGCAGTCTCTCAAGCTTTATGAATGGTTCGCTCAATAAATTTAACCTCTAAAATTGTTTGAAAACTGCTCTGAAAAACACGAGGACTGAACTGTTACATGCGATGCAGCCGTACAAAATGAGAAAATAACTCAGCTGGCACTGTCGAGGAGTATACTGTTTACGTATCTATATATTTATACGGGAAATTCTTTACAACACAATATTTTAATCGAGCCTGCAAGCAAGATATCATTCGAAATTTTAGGGTGCTTATTATCCCTTTCGTTCCGTGCACGATTCCGGCGTGACTCAAAAGATCTTCGATTTTGATTAACCCTTCTTAGCATAGAGACGATCTAGGATTGATGACGGGAGCAGCCAATGGAGTCACGAATATTGTCTTGTTGTCTGTTCTGGTGGCTTTGTAACACATAAGCAAAATGCCCTTTGTTTCAAATCTTCATCATGTCCCATCACTTTGGGTAGTAATAACATTTATACCTAACCTATACCCAGCAAAATTATGTGTGTTTGTTTTGGGCGTACACAGGCAGAAAATTATCATTTGAAAAGTCAATAATCCTAACACTTGTTGAAATGCTGTTCGCGCTTCAAATAAAACTATGTGATTACCTTGCCAATCAAAGTGGGTGTTCCAAAAGTTGAACGATGCTTTGAAGGTCATTGAAGTTGGTTTGTGACTGAGCTCATTTTTTCCGCGTTAGGCGGTGTATTGTAAATGAACTTTGAAACATTTTGATACATTGCGAATCCGTGCTCACATTACAGGAAGTGGCTCGTTCAAGTAGCTTCGTGCGAAATACTTTTCCTTATAGTACAAAACAAACATGCAGCAAAAAGCTGCTAGTCCATTTGATCCCGATGATTGGAAACCAAACTCCCTCCTTTTGAACATTGTAGTCTGGTTTCTCATGGGGCGCCGGTGACACCATTTCGCAAAATGCTTCCAATTCCTTCTGTCCATTCAGTCTACCAATCGGTACAGTTCCGTCTTAGGAAACTGATTCACACGGTACCATGCAAATCTCCGCATGACAATCATATGTGTGCGATTCAAAATTTTATTCGTAGTAGGCATTTGAAGCAAGCTTTCCACCACAGCTAGGAGTCTAACTGACGTACTCTCCCCAATCAAGTAAACCTGACACACAAACGCTGAATCTATTAACTTTTATGGTCTTATTAATTAAGCTGAAACGAGATACCCTGCCATCTGATTTTGCTAATTTCTCTGGAGATTTTGCGGCATGTCCCCAAGGAGGCAAACGGAAAGCTCGGTATATTTTTAAATTTTGCCTTTTCTGCTTTCAGTTTATTTCAGCTTTGTGTCGTGTATGAAGCTAGCCAGCCACAATCCCTGCTAGTGCATAAAAAAATAAATTTGTGCCCTTCGGTTCTTCAATCCGGGAGCAATCATTGCGTTTATTTGCTGCACGCCTATCGAAATCATATTCGTGACTATAGCTGTTTGAAGCTTGTGCTACTGCATTTGCGTGTTTCCAGTTTAATTCAACTAGTTATAGGTAGCGATTGTCTTAGAGTCGATTACGTATGTTTATCTTTGTTTACTCCACTGTAACTACATGACTGTTCACCACACGAGAAGCAAAATATTGCTTCAGTAAGCATATTTCCACCCTTGTCAGTAACTAACCTGAATAATAGGATGTATTTGGTTTCCGTTGACATTCCTCAGGACCGAGGGTGTTAAAGGTATCTTGAACCTTTCCTGTGGACTGCACTTCGTTTTGATTCTGACGGCTGATAAACTGAGCAGTGTCTTTAATTGGAGTGCAAGAAACGAAGGAGGAATAACGAAGATGATAGGGGGGCTTTTGCGGGACGCTGACGGTGTCCAGCGGCAAGTGAATCCTCACAGTATTTCGATGCTGTGTCCCCTCAACCGAAGAAGAAATCCCCTCGTCTGCATTGACTATTTTCAGTTGGAACGGATCCCACAGATTATGGTGGCTTGATTTGAGTAGCACTGGCTGAGTACATAGCTGATCCGGTGGACCACACTGCGTGGAACAACACTCACAAGGTGGAGAGCGGATAACGTTTGGTGTCGAATCGGGAACCAGATGGGTCCTGTGCGATGTGGACTCCCCAAAATGATTGCAGATGTACGTTGCACTTTGGCAAATAGTAAGTCCATGATCACGATAAGCATGAGCTTCTGTTCGTAAAAACAGTGAAAGAGTTCGTCGTCATTTTGTAGAAACGATGGTACTAGTCCACTGATGTCATTTTTAATTAAAACCGGAAGGATACATGAAAGCAAATTTGCTTTTGCTTTATAACATCGTTTGCTACTAACTAAACACAAAATTAACAGCAGTGTACTTTCCGTGTTTGGGACAGAAGACCCATGAATAGTACTACGTATGCAATGGTTTTCTTTAAATATTCCTAACTTAAGTACCAAACTTCAATTCCCTTGACAACCACCAGGTGGTAACTAGATCTGGGTCATTACATGTAAGCACGGTAGGCTGTACTTTGCATTATGATTTGCGGGAGGCGGTAAGAATCACACACTATCCCGAGTTTATGAGCAGATGCTTATTCATTGAGGGCTCGGTCTTTGGCTTCATAGCTAAATGCTATTTTCTAGGAAGTTCCTTTATCATAGTGTGCATACTTAAGCCATAGACCAAAGCATGATTGCATCCAATAAGTCACAATGAAACGGTGAAATTATCAGCGGGGAATTATAAGCCATTCAAAATTGCGTGTTGACTGCTCTTATGGTAGCAAAATAATCTACTGCATGCAGTAACTTCCGAAATTTGGTGCGATTTTCGAGCCTGTGTTTGACACAAATAAACTCGCCAAATACTTGAGCTTGTCAAACAAAATGTTATGAGTTATTCGCAGACGCTGATCTGTTTCATAAACAACACGTATGGTCATATTACTTTACTTGAACTGCTTGCTGTGTTTACACTTATTCCTACGCTATATTTTCCGCCTTTTTATTACTTTTAAATGCTTGAACACTACAAAGCTTCTCTGAGAGCTAGGCTGTGAAATTCAAAAATGTGCTATGCTATCCTTGTATACTGCACAAAGTGACCGGAAAACGCATTTGGTCTGTGTCTCGTACCGTGGAGAAATATAACCATTAATTATTTACCCTACACACGTTTTAGAATTCGGCTTTTATGAACCGACTAGAGTTACTTATCACAAGCCATATAAACTTCCGGAACTTCGGTCACCAGTTCAAAAATTGACCTGTCATTCGGATCGATGCGGTGCAGCATTATCCTACTACGGCGGATAAGATGACTGCATTTAGACGATGAACGGCGGACCTATTAACATTTGGGAATATATTCGCGTTTACTAAGTTTATTCTCAGCTACTTTTCGGAGAGTTACCACATGTTTCATTGGCAAGCAAGGCTAAAATATCCATCAAAAGAGCTAAAAAGAAGAACCAAATTTTGAAGTGACATATCTATTTTGAACCTTGACGTTTATTCCAGTCAGCGGACCTATCCAAGCCCCCGCTTATTCCTCAGAGATAGTTCAACACCGGCAGATACTGCAAGTCAACATTCTGCTGATAACTTGATAGTCGGTGTTACATGATGACAGCAAAACAATCGCGCAATCATCTCCATTTGCTCATTGAAGTCCCAACATCAGTATATCTTCAAAATGCAATAGAACGGTTTTAAGGGTGAATGCTACGACAAAATCGGTTCAAATGTTCGATATTTTCCTATTCGTTGATGCAATACATTATAGTGCGCTGATTTATGTGACGTCAATTAAAGGACCCTTGACATCGCACACTTGTATTGGTTTGCTAGAGCATGCTTTCACAAACCTTACTTTTTGGGTTCATTGGGTTCATTGGGGTGGTAGAGAGCAGGAGGGGAAATCCCTAGTCAGCTCCATCGCTTCCCGATCATTGCTGGGATGCTCGTCATTGCGCAACGGGAACTCCGGAGAGGCCGTCGCACTCGTAGCTGAAGCGACACGATCCCGGCATATTCAACAGGTGTGTATCAAGTAGTCGTTTGAAGCAATCCTCTGTCTGTGCATCAACGACTGTCGGCGGTAGCCGGTTCCAATTATTCACAACGCGAGTGGATAGCGCAAGAATGGACCGTACTTTGAGCCTCCGTGGCTTGAATATTTTCCGTTGGTGACCTCTAGTCGAACTCCCGATGTTGAGGTGGAAGAAATCCTGCAACTCTCTCCCCAGTTCTCCCCTGAGGATAAGACGGGTAAAGATCAAATCTCCACGCCGACGGCGGTAATCCACAGAAAACATATTCAAATGCCGAAGCCGAAGGGGATACGGCAGGTCACGTAACTCGGAGACAAACTTCGATCCACGCCGTTGGACCTTTTCGATCATGTCGCGCTCAGATTTGGAAAGCGGGTAGGCAGCAGGGAGGCCGTATTCCAAAATCGGGCGCACATGCGAGGTGAACAGAAGTCTAAAGAGTTCCGGTGTCAAGCGACAGAAAGCTCTTCGGATGGCATGAAACATTCTGTAGGTAGCGGCAACCCTCTTCATGGTGTCCTGAGAGGATCTTAAGTCCGGGGAAACAATCACGCCCAGATCTCTCTCTGATGTGACATTTTTGAGCAAGGAACCACCTATGTGGTACGAGCCGAGTGGTTCAGGAGCGCCGATAGGCAGGACGGAACATTTGGCTTGATTAATGGGTAAATGCCACTGAATCGACCAAGTGTGCAGGAGATCGAGCGTCTCTTGTAGTCGATCAGCATCCTCTAGAGAGGATACCTCCTTCCATATCTTTAGATCATCCGCATAAATCAAGCAATCCGATTGAAGCTCCGACGGTAGGTCGTTGATGAAGATGTTGAAGAGTTCGGGGCCGAGAACGGAGCCCTGTGGAACACCGCTGGTCATATGAACAGGATCGGAATACGTTTCGTTCACTCTCACCTGTTCTGATCGTCCTTGTTAAATGTTCCTACCTAGGTTGTCAGTTAAATGATGATTCCGACATTCATACATGAATTATTTCGCCGTTTTAGGTTTGCAAAATTCGGGCAGCTGCTTTAGACGGCCACCAAGCCATGCGATAGTTATGGTTCTCCAATCACAGAATAAATCAATTCAGTCGCTAGATGCTCCATTTCGTAAAACACATGGATAATCTTTCTGTGCTTCAAAGAGATGTCACTAATAGAACCTTAACAATAGAACATGATAAAAGTGAATCAATAGAAACCTCTTATTACATATACACAGAATTCAGTGGCATCTTGAGCATCAGCATTCACTGGTCCCGTAGAAAATTTACTATCCGGCGTTCATCATCAACAATGACCGTATTTCTCAAAAAGTTATCTGTATCTGCTTCGGTTGTTTCAGATCTGCGTCCTCAGAACTACGTGCCTCTAACGTGAGCATTTCATGTGTCACTATGGACGAAAATATCTTTTCTTTTGCTCGACAAACTGCTCTGTTTACGGCAATCGTTTGGTAAATAACAAAATATATTATTCTTTAAATTAAACGATAAAAGTACATGTATCTGGCACTTGATATAGAGGCTGACAAGATTTACGTGAGTTTGAGTTCAAGAACAATCCGATACTTAACAGCAAACAATTAGCCAGTAAACTGTTAGGTAAATAAATAGTCACTGATTCTACAACAGAAGCGCGTTAAATAGTAAGGGCTTTTACCTAGATTCTTGTGGTGTGTTCTTCTGTGTACTCATGAGTACCACCTCAAAATAGATAGGTATAAATTGGTGGTTCCTTGAATTATAGAAATTCTCTAAGTTCAGTACCTTGATTGGATGAAAAGCGAGCCACCGAAGGCCTACGGCTTTTAACAGTACCACTTCCATTTTGTTAAACCGACTTAAGGGTTAGGAATTCACGCTGGTAACAAACTAGCTGTACCCACTTCACTAAAGAATCTTCCAATTAACTCTACTCTCAGATCCGACCTGTAAGTGTCTATTTGCATTATCAAAAGTTAATGAAGATAATCTAATCGGGACTCAAAAATCTGCGGTAGTTTGGAGAATTCTCACATTTTCCTTTGTTCGTTATTTAACTTTCTGACTGAGATAGTTGTTCCACTAGACAAGTAAGTGTCCGTTGCGAAATATAAAGTGTATTTTGAAGATTGTTCCTTTGAACCACAGAACACACGCTGTCGACGACTCGGTTATATTATATCTCACAACTGCGACGTACAGCGTCCCCTTGAATCTGTTTGACTGACAACACTTAGCTCTGGTTTTGCTTCCTACTGTTGGCCTACAGTAATCGTTTGCTCTCAAATATGGACTTACCACCGCATTTATATAGTATCTGGGTTAACGATTAGATCTACAACGAAGGACGGACATCCGGTTACAGTTTTAGGTTACTCGTAAAACAACACATCCATAGTATGCGAAGCTTTATCTTTTCTCTACTGAAAGCTACTGAGCATATATCTAAAGTTAAGGTCAGATTGCTAGATAGGGGATAAGATTACAAGAGCAAGATCCACGCTATCTAGGCTATTATATCTGCTGACTGTCCGCAACAGATAATGTAATCCTTTAAAAGCATCTGATGGGTGGGTTTTTATGTCTCACAATTGCACAAGAATTGGGAAGTCCTCTGGGGGCCAATATTTAAAAGCTGCTAAAAACTGTTAATAAACAAAAATAAAACTGCAGCAAATTATAACAGAGTACTGCACACTGAATATTACCGCATGTAAAATAAAAAGGTGTAATATTTTTAAACTTTACTACAAGCCGTGCTCACTGAGCTAGGCGCGGTTTGCCAGTAATCAATTAATTCTATGCATCAGTACGGTGCTTGTTAATTTTTTTTAATTTTCATTTAGTGTGCTAGAAATATAGTGCAATTCCAAATTAGACCGCAGTCTGTTCTGAACTTAATTTCGATTGATTCAGCCAGCAGAACTGCGCTTATGATGGGAGTTTCTAATGTAACTGACTGCGACTATTTCAGTGCCTTGACGAATTCTCTCTGAAGGATTCTTCGGATAGGAAGGTTTGGAGCTTTGTTAGGATTCTATATACGGTTCAAATAAACAGACTGATCATGGTCCATTCAAAAGAAAAGTAACCATATACTGCAGCGAATCACATGGCGTATATTCCGAAAGTAGACATGGTTTCTAAACCACGATACTAAGCGCTGCTCCTAA